TCAAAAATAATATCCTCTTTTTCCCATTGCAATAAATAAACATGTAACAAATGAACATATATAGTAGCAGTAATGGTCAATTACAATAATGCATTTGATCACTTACAATTAAATTACTATACGTAAAAATATAAATGATCATCTATATAGCTACATAACTCAACATCATTTATATATGAAACTACAAATATTGATATATAATCATTAAAAGTGACATGTACAACTTATAATTCCATAAACACAAGTATATATATATATAAATGAACATTTATGATTGCATAATTGAACATTATTACAACAAGACAAAATAACAAATGTTAAGATTTTTTTTAGGGAACAAATATATGAAAATACGTTCATCACTAGTTAAAATAGATATGAGTATCTTTAAAAGAATGAAAATTATTGAAATTCACATGGACAACATATATATATTTAAATACAACTAAAATAAATATATAGTTTACTAAAAAAATACATTAAACATAAATGAACATTTACTATTGCACAAGTGATCATTTTTTTAACTAAGATTATTTTTATATGACACAACAAGCTAATAAAAATAATTGGTTAGTAATATTATTACAATAACTATAGTTGTTCATATAAGACACACTAAACTAGAAAGACAACAATCAAAATTACAAAATAAAAACAATAACACAAATAAGAATCAAATTAGAAGAATAATACAACCAAAACTATATATGAATCAACTAATAACAACAATAACAATACTAAAACTAGAGCATTATCAAAATTAAAATCAATACAACAAAAACTATGAAATCAAAGCATTATAATCAAAATTTCTCACATTGATTGAATGACAAATTATTCACATTGATTGTTAAATGAGTCGAGCACACCAAGGAGGAAAATAGAGTCACAATCATAATCAAATGCAATTGAGATAAAAAATCTCCCTGGAAGAAGAGACAAAATTTGAAAAAAAATCAAAAAATGTAAGAGAGAGAAAGTGAAATCACTTATAAGAGGAGAGAGAAATTAAAATTGGTAAAATGAGGAGAGAGAAAAGGAAAGAATATTGCACTTCAAGAACATTATATACTTGCTTGAATGAAAAATAAAGAAGAAAACAAAAAAAAAAAGAAAAAAAAACACTGGTGGGGGAAGGGGGATAAAACGACGTAGTTAGTTAGGGGGCGTAGGGGAAGCAGCCTAGACTAGAGTCTAGGGAAAAATTTGTATTCCTTCATTTCAATGTTACCGACTTACCGGTTTGAGCTGCATATTTATTAATGCACAACTTCGTGGATAATCAAATACTCCGATCATTAATAATAAAATTTTGGTATAAAATGAAGTATAAATTGAGACGAATCCACATCTAACAAGCTTGCCCTTCCTTCTGACAATTACAATAACATTACTGGTAATACCATTATGACAATTACAATAACATTTTACAGGGGCGAAGTTACCCGGATCAGTGGAGATTTGGCCTCCGCGACCCTTTTCTTTTTTGCAACCGGTACCTTTGAAAAAAAATACTTGTATTAAATACGAAGTATAATTTGATCTTGTAAAAATAATATCTATATATATACATATACAACATTGTACTAATTTTTTTTTTTTTTTTTTTTAACAGAGTTGTACATATTTGTTGTATTATAGCATTGGCTAACCGGAGAACACCATGTTCGACACCAAAACTTTAAATTTATGGTTTCACCAAGATAATTCAGTATACTTTGTTATGTCAAGTCAAGTCGTGCCATGTCAAATTATGTTACTCTAAATAAAAAACAATATCATCTCATGCACAACAATGTATCGTGAATTCGTGATGTACCGTGCTTTTTTCTTATTGAACTATGTCGTGTCACAGCCCTCACAGGGTCAATGACTAATGAGTCAAATAGTCAAATGCTATCTTTACTCGTGTGATAGTGTCTCAAAACGTGAAGGAGTATCTAGAGACTAGAGTAACGAATGTTTAAGGGGCCAAGAAATATCGCCAAATGTCAAAAAAGGATTGCCCTCTCATTTCCTTATCTCCTCGTCTCTCTCATCCTTCCTGCCAAACTGCCACAAATTGTTACAGTAGTGTGCAAAAAATACAGGGGAGGAACAAACCTAAGAAGCATGTCTGCCACACTCTCTGCTTTGAAACTCCCCTCACTACCTTTCCAAATTCAATCAAAACTCCACACTCCTTTTTCCACTCAAACCCCATCAAAATTAATCCCTAATCAAAACACCCAACATAAATTAACCCTAATCAAACAAGATCAAGATCAATTTTTTCACCCTTTAAAATCCTGTGCTCTTCCTCTTTCCACTCTCGCATTGCCCTTCCTTCTAAATGCCCAGGTAAATTTTTATTTTATTTTATTTTCAATTTCTGGTGAAAAATTTCATCTTTTTATGAATTTAATTGTTGTCAATTTTAATAAAAATGAATAGGATGCATTGGCGGTTGAGGGTCAATTTGGGATATTGGAGGGAAGAACAGCAGCATTGATACACCCAGCAGTGATGAGTGGGCTATTTGTGTATACATTGTGGGCCGGTTATTTGGGCTGGCAATGGCGTAGAATTAGGACTATCCAAAATGAGATTAGTGAACTTAAGAAGCAGGTTAAGCCTGTTGCTGTTACTCCTGATGGTTCTCCTGCTTCTGATAATCCTGCTCCTCCTTCTCCTATTGAATCCAAAATCCAGCAGCTTACTGAGGTTATTTTTAATCTTTCTTTAATTGTACTGTCTTTTCCATTTAAATTTATTTATTTACTTGATATCATGTTAGGTGTATATTTGATTGATTATTGCTGCATTGATTTTAATGATAAAAGTTAGTTGAGTGGTCTGATAATTCGGATTGGAGAGACTAGGGAGTTACATTTTCTGGTGTTATAGACTTATATTAGTTGATCATGATTGGATTTCTTAATATAATTATGTCCTGAACCATGGTGGTAACAACGTTGGTACTAAGTTAATTAGGTACATGCTTGTATTATTTTGAAATTGTAGTACATTCTTTATTATCGTTAGAGAAAGTAGAAATCTTTTCTCGAGTTTTCTATATGTAATATATTGTCACGATACCAATACTCAGTAACGAGTAATGGAGAGAGGATGGGAATGACAATTTTTAACAAGGATGGTCTAGACATTTAGTGAGATTGTGCTGGATCTTTGATATTGAGATAATTATATATGAGTTCATAGGAGTTTATCCTTTGTGGTTATTCTAATGTTTGCGAAGTGGTTGATATTATATCATTGTTACTTAGAAATCTCTGTAGGACTTCAATGGTAATCCTCTTTGAGAAACACTGAAAAATCTGGTCTTCATCACATATCTAGGATTTCTAGCTATAATCAATATCTTAACTATACTATCCAATGTTGCTGAAGGAAGGAAATTAGAAAGCAATTCTAGCATTGGCTGTTGAAACAGAAGTTTTAGGTGAAAGAACTTTTTTGTTGGCTCCCCACAACAAGAGCATTTAGAAGTCATTAGACTTTGAATATCAAGCTTAAACAGATATACGTGTTCTTTAATTACCCTTTGCTGTTTTTTTTTCTTTGTTTGATTGGTTTGTTAAAGTTGCTTCAAGTTGGTTACTATATACTTCCACCTTGCACTAGTCCTTGCATCTTTGACGTGAACCCCTTTAGTTCAATTGACTCATCCATTATATCTTAGCATTATCATTCACTACATTGTTGAGCCTATGAACGGTACAGGACAACAGGAAGAACCTTTCTAGTCTTAAATCACCAGGATAGTTGCATCGATTTTTATGCTTCCATGAGGAAAATGAAAGTTATTAGTGGTTTTGATTTTCTATCTCGATCAATCTATTAAGGCTGTGATGTGGTTTCAAGCGAGATCAAATCATTTGAGTATTGGTTAATGATTATTCGCTAAGAAAATTGATTTTCTATGTCATACCCAGTGTGTGTGGCAAGATCTAACCTTGGAATCTTGGATTGTTTAGTACCAACTTCCATGAAGAATTAAACAACAATCTTGATCTTATATTACGAATATTACTTGATCTTAAGGTTACTCTTAACTTTTGTGTACTCATATTGATGCCTTTTCGGTGATTTATCCCTGAAACCTTCTCTCTTTGTATGCATCAGGAGAGGAAAGAATTGTTAAAAGGGAATTTTAGGGACCGGCATTTTAACGCTGGCTCAATTTTGCTAGGATTTGGTGTTTTTGAGGCAGTTGGTGGAGGATTAAACACATATATTAGAGCAGGAAAGCTATTTCCTGGGCCTCATTTATTTGCTGGAGCAGGTATAGACAAAAAAAAAATATATATATATATATATATAAAAAAAAAAAAAAACTATCCCATGTGTTGTGATTGCAATGTTCTATGGGTGTTGGAGAAGCTTTTATGGAAATTGTATCCTTGCTGGATTGCTTCTAATATTGTTTATTTTTGCTTGCAAAACAGCAATTACAGTGCTGTGGGCAGCAGCTGCAGCACTTGTACCTGCAATGCAGAAAGGGAATGAAACCGCTAGAAGTCTTCACATTGCTCTGAATGCTTTAAATGTTATTTTGTTCATATGGCAGATCCCCACTGGAATTGATATAGTCTTCAAAGTTTTTCAATTCACTAACTGGCCTTGAAACGCATCAATTCAGGTCTGGCATTCCTTGCACATTCCCTGTGCTAATTTGTTTACCCGTAAAACAACTAAGTCGTTTTTCCCCCCCTGTTCCCATTTGCTTGTCCCTGTATTGTGAATAGCTTTATACTTACAAGTTGCAAATATATATTGTCTAGTGGTAAAAATTGTAATGAATTATGAGATTCTTGTATCAATGGAGCTGTACTGTTACATTCTTTTGAATAATTTATCCAAATATGGCCTTGGACACGTAACAAGATACTTGAAAGAGAAAATGACTATTTACAATGGACTATGGAATCAGAGGGATGATGATAGACAACAAGGTTTATTTGTTTGTCCAACGAGCCTCAATAACCTTGTCCTGTGAGCTATTTATTCTATATTGGCAATGGTGATGTTATATAATTCATTTCATACATTATGAGCTACTATTCTTACTACTGTCTATAATAGATTAATAGGGTGTTCGAATGAGAATATAATGCTTGGATGAGAGACTTATGAAAATTTTACTTTAGAAGGAAAGGATTGGAGGGTGAATAGGGATCCATTTTCTGTTATTTGAAAACAGAATGGGGAAGCGAAGGGGAGGGAAGTAGAATGATCATATTTTTTTTCCACTTAAATCAAGTACTACAAATGTTGAAAGATTTGGAAATGTAGTGCTAACTACTCCCGTTTTTGTTTTTTTTTTTTTTTTTTTTTTGGGTAGAATTCTACTCCCCTTTCTTAGTACCATACCTTCCCTTCAATATTCAAAACATTGTAATATGGGATTACAAATTTCGTCTTCTACAGACTATAGTTGATGGACCCTGGCCTCGTACAATATAGCCTAAATTGTCTGCTAAGATAACCTAATTGAAATTTTTTTATAAAAAATGCATACTTTTCATCAGAAATTAGATTGAGACACTAGCTAAATACCAGTGACCACAATTCAGTGGAATTCTAGCATAAGCAGAGTATGGAAGCATAATATAGTACGACCTTATGGAACTTGTAAACAAATTTTTTCCTGAACTTTTCTTTTATTCGCGTTTTTGCATCCAGCTGTAAACCAAATTCTCCGGTGTAATCTCTTGCTTCTTCTACCACAGTAATTTAAGTATGACATCAGTCATCTTCTACTTTATTCTTTTCTGTTTCGCTGCTATTAATCCCTTCCCCCCTTCCATTTGGAATCACATTCTGTTCCCTGTATGAGTTACCTTGCTTCTTCGCGGTGAAAATAACATGGGCCTATGGGGTGTTGTGATTCATGTTTTGAGCACATTGAAGAAATTGTCTTTCAAGATTGTCTTTACATAGGGTATCAGAATTACCTGAGGACCGCCTTTACGTTTTACAGTTTTCATTGAGCCCTACAATCGTTATTGCATGCTTCAGGAATAAATAATGTATCTGGCTTTAGTAACCTTGACGGAGTAAAGTCAAGAAGTGTAGTGCAAGGAGATGCATAACATCTGTAAAGTGGTCTAAGATTTTGACAGCAGAGGCAGCAGAGCTCCTTATATCCGAGTTTTTAGATTCTTCAAGAAGCTGTAAGGTTTTGCTAAGCTTATTATTATGGAGGTTTTGAAGATGCCCTGCATAATCACATGTCAAATGGTTTATAATGCTGTCCAATTTGTGGACAGTTGACGTGCTCTTCCGTTAATTTTCAGGAAGGGTCGCAGCCGCAATAATAGTCAAAAAAAAAAAAAAGAAAAAAAAAAGAGAATTTTAGGCCGTTGAGGTTAAGAGACTGTAGATTGTGGAGAATAATATATTTAAGAATTTTAGCTTGTTTTAGTTTCTTTCCTATGTTTCATGTTAAGCTTGACTTAAGAACCTTGTAATATAATAAAGGATAAAGGAAGGCACTTTTGAATGACTCAATTTGATCCCAATCGTGGTTAGTGAGCTTTTGTTAGCTGCTGGTGGGAGTTGAATCCGATGCCTTTCCCTTTTCTCTGATGATATCTTGTACGGTTGTAATTTTCTGATTGTGTTTTATGTTTTGCTTTATACTACTCCTAAGACTATATATATATGAACTCGTACCAATCCTTTTTCTCCACCCTCAATCGGACGATTGTTCCTTAGAAGTCTATTTTGGGTTTCGATAATTTAAACATTTGACTTCCAACATGTCAAACCAGCAGTCTCGCCCATGGTTCCGTTTAGCCACTCTCCGGCCCTCTCAGCAGCAGGCTCCTGCTCCTGCACCAGCACCAGCACCAGCACCTGCACCTGCACCACGGCCTCAAGCCCAACCTTCTCCTATGCCTCGACCTGCCCTAATGCGACCAACATTTAGGCCTTCTGCTAATCAGCCTCCTCCAGCTCAAAATGCTGCTCCTCGAGCTCCTGCTCCAACCCCTTCTGCCTTTGCTCCTCCTCAATCATCCGTCACCTCTGCTGCTCGTCCTGCTGCTGCTGCTGCTTCCTCTCCCTCTCCTGCCCCTGCCCCTGCCCCCGCCCCCGCCCCCACCCCCCCCACCACCAGTTCAGCACCAAAAGCTCCTGCATCTGCCTCCCCTGCTGCTGCTACACAGCAGCCTCCTCCTCCTGCTCCTTCCAGTTCAATGCCCTCACCTCCTGGAACTTCTTCATTGCCGTCACCTCCTAAACCAAAAACTCAACCTTCTCCACCTTCTTTGCCGTCTTCCCAAGCTATCTCTCGCTCCATTCCACCTTCTCCTACCTCGCCTCCCAAACCTTCATTTCCCTCTTTGAAACAAGTATCACCTCCCACGGCACCAACTGTTTCTCCGCCAAAACCACCCTCACCTCCCAAACCTTCAGTTCCCTCTTTGAAACAAGTAACACCTCCCATGTCGCCAGATGTTTCATCTCCAACTAAGCTCTCTTCGCAAGATGTTTCTTCTCCAAAACCTGCCACTACTACTTTTCGTCCGATGCCAAAATCTTATATGTCACTTCAAGAAACTCCTTCTCCTCAGTCACAAAAAACTCAACCCTCTGTTACTCCTCCTCCATTTACCCTTCCCCCTTCACAACTCCTTTCCGAGAGAGACCGAGGATTTAAAATGCCTCCTGTAGCTGAAAACCAAACAACTCTGCCCCCTTCACAACTCAATTCCGAGGGAGAACGTGGAAATAAAATTCCACCTGAAGCTGTAAACAAACCAATGGTTGTACAGCATACTGTCGGGAAGCCCAAGCCGTTTCTTGATTCATATGGTGGTGATTCTCAGAAGCCTCGGATTGGAAAGAGTGTCAAACCAAAAGAAAGAGACATTTACAAGAAGTCCTCAGATTATGAAGATAGTGGCGTGAGAATCATAACTATTACTGGTGAAAACAAAGGCGCTATTATGGAACTTGGACGTGGTTCTGCTTTGGATAACCCTCACAAGGCCAAAAATGATGGAGTGATATCAGAAGGTAACTTCAGTGGCAAAGAGGACATGTCTAAGCTGAAAGGTAAGGGTCATAATAATGCAACGACGAAACCTGGTGTGCCGATGCATGCATACACGAACAGCAATGTGCAAGGTATTAACAGTTCCATTGTCTTCAACAGTACCTGCACTCACAATGATCCTGGGGTTCATCTCTCTGTAAACCGAAAGCCGTTAAATGGTCATAGTCATGGGTTCCAGCTCAAGGACAATGCAGGAGAAAAGAAGAAAGGACAATGGTTCTCAGAGTAGAATTATATACTAGTAATGTTTTAGGGAATAAAGGTGAAGTTAGTCGTCTAAATCAGGTCATAAGAAGATTTAAATTCTGATTCCATCTACTCCACTTCATACAAAATTAGAGAGGCAGGACATCACCTAATATATGGCTGTCTGAACCATTTCCTGAGCTAAAGACGCCCCCAAATATATTAAGTTTTTTTTTTCTTCTTTTAATTGGTGTACTAATTATATTGTTATAAGTTAATATGTACCTTGTTCTGTTTTTTAGAGCACGTTGGGAATAAATTACATAAGTTAATGCTTTATGTAAACCTGGGCACGGGCCGGGTTGGCCCGCGTGCCGCCCGGCACGGCCCGCCGTTCGGAGCAGCCCGGCACGGCCCGAAGTCAAGCACGGCACGGCACGAAGTTCGACTTCCGTGCCACGGGCCGTGCCACGGACACGGTGGAGAATTCCCAGGCACGGCCCGGCACGAGCACGGGCATGGCCCGCCGTGCTGGCCCGCAGGCACGGCCCGCGGGCCAACGGCTATAAAACGACTATAAACGGCTAGTTTTTTGCCAAAAATTCTATAAATACTCACCTCCATTTCATTCCCAAATCACAAAATCACAATCTCTTCTTCTTATCTCTTATATTCTCTAAATCTCTAATAATCCTTATTTTCTTAAATTCTCTAATTATTCTCTTAAATTCTCTAATTATTTTCCTAATATCGGAAAAAATTAAAAAGTTCGTAATCGTAATTAGTGGAGCGTTGAAGCACGGTTGTAAGATCTAAACTAATCTTAAATTTATTATTGTTTTATTGTTATTATTAGAATAATCTTGTTTAATTATTATTGTTGTTAATTGTTATTGTTGTTGTTATAATTGTTGTTATTAATTATTATTATTGTTACAATTGTTGTTATTATTTATTTTTGTTGTTATTGTTATTGTTATAGTTGTTGTTATTAATTATTATTATTGATATTTTTATTGTTAAAATTGTTGTTATTAATTATTATTATTATAGTTAACCACTTTTTATTAAAAAATTAATTGTTAATTATGGCATCGAACAACCCATCATCTAGGTCTAGGGGGAAAGGCCGACTTATCCGTAGTAGTAGTTCTAGGGAACCACCAAATACAACGAGCCCCCAAATTACGAGTCAAACCAATGACCCCATTTACTTCCCCCCGGGCTATGAGCCATATAATACGTCGGGATTTCCAGCACCACCACTAAACCAATTTCCACTACCACCATACCAATTTTCACCTAATTATATCGGTAATCAACAAAACTATTGTTCTAGCCAAGGTAGCCAAGAAAGTACCCGAATTCCCTCCGGTTCTACCCCTTCTACTGCCACTCCCACTAGTCCCCCTACTAACCATCACACACATCATGAATGGTTAACCGAAACTGAGATGCTACTTTTGAAAAACCGAAGGAGTGAGGTATGGCGTTATTTTGTCCTAAGTAAAGATGGTGAACAATGGGCAAAATGTAAAACATGTAATAGTGTATTCACGGCAGTTACCAAAAACGGGACGGGACACTTATCTAGACACATGAAAGCTTGTGCAAAACCAGCTAGTGATCCAACCAAGCCCAAAATTTCCCAATTCCATCCATACGGCTTTACATACAACTATGAGAGGGATAGGGATGAACTAGGAAAAATGATAGTACACGCCGAACAACCTTTTCTTTTCTCGGAAAGTGACGCATTCAACACCTACATTAACAAAGCACTACAACCCCAACATAAAAGAATCTCTAGGAAAACCGTTCGTTCCGCCGCAATGAAAAATTTCCTAGAGTACAAAGTCCGGTTACAAGCCGAATTGAGTAACCTTAACTGTAGAGTATCTTTAACAGCCGATTCTTGGGATAGTGGTTATAAATATCACTATTTATGTGTGACTTGCCATTGGGTAGATGATCAATGGATGTTACAAAAAAGAATAATACATTTCAAAATTCTGGAATACCCACACACCGGCATTAACATTGCTCACCATTTAATGCAAGCAATAGACGAATACAACCTTCGAGATAAAATGATGTCTATGACTATTGATAATGCAACCTCTATGACATACACAGCTAATCTTATCAAACAAAACTTAACCGATGTACTATTAGACGGTGAAGCTCTTCATACTAGATGTGTTTGCCATGTACTTAACTTATGTGTACAGGATAGAGTTCGGGCAATTGGCCCATACTACAGCAAAATCAGAGATGCTATTATGTCTATTAATAGCTCTAACATGAGATACCAAGAATGGAAGAGTTTTCTAAAACAACAAAAGATAAGGGTAATAAAAATTAGAACCGATTGCCCAACTAGGTGGAATTCCACCTATGACATGTTAACAAAGGCAATTGAGTACAAGGGCCCGTTAACATTATTTTACAACCAAAAATTTCCACAAAATGTTTTGTATGATGATGATTGGAATAACTGTGAAAGATATATGCAATTTTTACAGTTATTATATAACATGACGTATTGTTTTTCTACTGTTTACAATCCTTGTGCTCAAAACTTTCTTTCTAATGCATGCTTACTCGCCCAACTTTTCGCTGATCATCGCGATCAAAGTGATTATGATCAGTATCTTCCAGCAATGGAAAAAAAGTGGCGTAAATATTATAGTGAGATTCCTTTGATTTATATTTTTGCTTCCATATTAGATCCTAGGCAAAAGTATGAAAACACATTTATGTTAGTTGACATTTACTTTCAATGCATGTTTCTTGACGATGATGTAGAAAACTATAAGACTAATGTGAAGGATCAGTTTTTTGCTTTATATAGAGTCTATGAAGCCAAATATGGCACCGTTCATCGCTCAGGGCCTTCCCAACCATCCAAAAACGTAAGTAAGAAGGCCAAACATTTATTTTCACAAGCTACTAACTTGATTTCAAGGTTTTCAGGTGATTCATCAATCAGGAGAACGCAAAGCGACGTCTCGGAGTTGCAGATGTACCTGAGTTACGACTTCACCAAAGGCATGGACGACGATGAGATAAACAGCCTCGACCTCCTTGCATGGTGGAAACAACAAAGCTCGAAGCATCCAACTTTGGCGGCAATGGCACGAGACATTCTTGCTATCCAAGTTTCCTCCGTCGCCTCCGAACGAGCTTTCAGCGCATCCGGAAGGGTTTTAGACGATAGAAGAACAAGTCTAAAACCCGAAACACTAGAAATGTGCGTGTGTTTCAAAGATTGGTTGGATGCGGAAAATCGCTCACAAGACCGTTCTTACGACCACAACGACAACGAAGAAGGAACCTCCGCTTCCGGTTCGGGTTCGGCTAGTTCCCAATCTATGCAACTAGCCGATGACCTTGAAGGCGAAGGCGAAGACGAAGACGAAGACGAGCAAGAAGAAGGAGAAGAAGAATAGACAATTATTGTATATTGTACGATTTTAAAAATATCAATTTTATCATTTTCCAATTTTTGTTTAATACCATCATTGTATGATTTTTATCATTGTTATCATTGTACAATTTTCTCAACTCAAGTAATAATAATATAAAGTACGCATTATTCACATCCAAAGTCCAATTTGCCTTTTTTCCCCGTTTTGTTACAATTTGTAAATTCATATTTAAAAAAAATAAAATTATACCAATTACTAATAAATCATAAACATTAAATTTTAAAGTAATAGTATAAAGTAAATATATAAATATAAATATTGAATATACAAATTATAAAACATAAATATTCAACTTATAATTATAAAATTCATAACTTAATAACTTATAACTTATAAGTTATAAACTTATAAGTTACCTTATAAAACTTATAATTATAATTTTATAACTTATATACATTATAAACTTATTAATTAATAATGTTGTCATTAAAAAAAAATAAATAAATAAAAACTGCACCAGCCCGCGCAGGCCAGCCCGCAGCCCGGCACGTGGCCGGCACGGCACGAGCCCGCCAGGCACGAGGGCCGTGCCGTGCCGTGGGCTGGCCTGTGAAAATGGCCGGCACGGCACGACACGAAATCCTGGGCCCGCCGGCACGACCGGCACGGCACGAACCAGCCCGCGGCCCGCCAGGCACGGCCCGCGGCGGCCCGGCACGGCACGGTGCCCAGGATTGGCTTTATGTTAGTTCTGCTTCTGTTATAATTGTGTTGAATAACATACCCACCTAGGAAGAGACTTGATCAAGGCTTGACTAATCCTTTATTAATTGCAAAATTATTGGGAGAGAAGAAACGTAGAGGTTAAAATTGGTATGTTTGTGAGCAAAAGTTTTAAGGTTTATAATCTTCAATAAAAGATTAACTTGCTTCTGTGCAATGTTGCAGTATGCCTTTTACATTTTTGTGTAGTTGAAGCTTCATGGTGCGGAGTATAACGTGATATGAGGTGCATGGAATGACGAGTATCCATTACATCTAGCATGTGTACACAGCGGCGAAGGTAGGTTATGTCATATTTTATTTTATTTGGAATCATGTAAGGTGTACGGGTTAAAATTGGATGGATTCGTTTAGACACTTTACCAAGTCCAAAATCAATCCCCCAAAATATCCTGAACTTAGAGTTTAAACTAGTCTTGTTTTTTCACAAGTACAATCCAGTATTCAAACGAATTTTCTGATCAAAAGTTGCAATTGAACATATTTTTTACCTCTTCTATACCAATCAAACCACTTTCTATAGAATTGAAGTTTTTCAAAGAAGAGAATGACAGGAGTAATTTGGTAAAATCTAATAACAACATTACATCAATTATAATATTAATAAAAAAAAGATAAATAACACACTTGATAGCTTGAAAATAAAATAAAATATAAAAGATAGATGCAAATTGGAAGACTAGAAGAATAATCACATAACCGGTTATAAAAGTAAATGGCAAATTGGTACCTCATTCACGAAATTAGATTGCTATGATAAGTTTCTGTCATTGTTTAAAAGCAAATTATTAATTGGTATATTAACTAAAAAAACAAAAATACTGTTTCTCAAAAAAACAAAAATACTGGTTTATACTAAATATTGTAGTTTACATAGCAAGTAACTAGGAGAGAACAGAGAAGGCAATCTTATAGGCAGCATTTACTTAACTCATGCCAATGAACTTGCCTTTTTAACTTTGATGCTTATTCTTTGTTTCTTGTTAATTGTTACCCCTCCTTTTATTTTCAACACAATAATCTTTCTTTTTTTTTTTTTGAAGAATCTTTTACGTGTTGTTTGATTATTTTCTATCTATTTAACTAAAGTTATTATTTAATTTGTCATTAATGCATGATACTTTGCTTTTTCTTGATTCTTCTTTTTTGGTTGATATATTTAATTTTATTATATATGTAAAAATGCAATGCTTTATATTATTTTGGGATTTATTTTGTTCTCTCTAGCTAGTTGCTCACATAATTTATTGGTTATTGCTCCGTAGTATCTCTTGGAATATGTTGAAATTGTTGATATAAGCTGCAAAATAATATTGTGAAAGAAATCTAAATTAAGTATAGATAGATAACGATAGTATGGAATATGCAGTATTTGTTGTTGTGATTTACACTAGCTTGACAATATAAGTATCACCGTAAATAGAGGTTATTTTAAAGACGTGTATAGATTAATTAAAATATTGTGTGCTAATTGAAATAACTCGATGTCTGGATTCGTCGGAATTTACATTATCATCATAGTTAATTTTCTTGATGACTCTATATGTTGTATCTCTTGCATCAGTTGCATGGCATATATGTACGTGCTATGCTTTCTGCAACACTGCACTAGTATTATTTGGTGACTGATTGAGTCCTTGAATGCCAGACATTTACTACGCATTGGTGGTGACTTGGTGAGTAGGTTACCCTTTTACGAAGTTTTAGATAAATAGAGTCGAAAGCAAATACTTGTATAATTTATTTATTTTTTACAAAAAATCATAGGAAAAGCGGATTATTCTCATCTTCTTATAACAGATTAATTAAAATATTATTATGTACATCATCCTTGCTTTTCTCATGGTCAATAATAATTGTTAACTGATAGTTTGATAAGCTCTTTTTTTGAGTGGTTGTGCGCTCTTGTTGACTATACAAAAGGTAAATCAAAAAAATTCATGGTATCATCATATAATATACAAAGTATATATTATACTAAAAGTGATGACCAATAATTGGTTGAATTGCATATTATGATATATGTGGAGCTATTCGTTTATTGTGGAACCACTTTATCGTCTCTTAGATACTAATTTGTTAATCTTTTACGGAGTATTATCTAAATATATCAATTTGTCAAGTACAAAGACTAATAGAAGACAAATGACGTAGACGTAATTTATCCCATATTTTAGACATCACTTTCAAAAACTTAAATCAATTAACACTTGCGTATATCATATTGTTATAGCTATAGTATCTAACATACCAGTCAATGGCAACATTCCTTCGAATTAATTGGCACTTGCATTGTTGCATAACAAAGTTACTTAGTAACAACTTAAAACTCTTACAGGGTACTAGTATAATGTATGAGGGCATTGTTTCTCATTTATATACGAGATCATCCATTATCTTTAAGCACATGTCCATTTTCTTTTTCTATAAAGAGTACAGTATTCATTTGAACCTATTTAATCACACGATTCACACCTACCTTTTTCACACTATGTCATCAAATAGCCTAACAAACTAACATATTAATTTAGTCTACAAAAATAACACACTTCCTCCATTTTTTATTAGATGCATCACTTTTTAAAAATGAAAGTTTCAATTTAGATGTATCACTTTCTCTTTTAGTTAATAAATTCTCTCTATCTCTCTCCTACTCCCTTCGTTTTTAAATACTTCTCCACTTTTCATTTCCGACCGTTTTTAAATACTTGCTCCATTTCTTTATTTGGAAAGTTTTTATAATATTTAATTCATTTTTCTCAATCAGTGGACCCAACATAAAGCATATTTTATTAATTTCATATTCTCCCTCCTCTAATTCCCTCAACTACTTTTGTTTTTTACAATTTTTTATTCGTTCACCTACCCTACCACCTCCATATTTTATTACTTTCTCCAATTTCTCCAGAAACTCTGGACATTGAGAAATGGAGCAAGTATTTAAAAATGGAGGGAGTATCACATGAGTTTTCTTGATTTTTTCTCTCTATGTTTTTCTATTCAAAAAATTACCTAGGAGTCCGTGATTACAAAAGTGATGCAACGAGAAAGACATTAAGAATACATATTTATAATTTCCTATACGTAAAGTCCAACACTATATTTGGGTTGGGGAAGGGTTGGTAGGTGGTGTAATAAATAAAAAATGGGCTAATATTTGGAAACCGGTCCGAAAGTCATAATAATACAGAGTACTACTTGAAGAAGTACGAGGCCCAATAACTCCCACGTGTCCCACGCGCTAATCACACGAGACGTTTATTTTAAGTCAGCGATTAACAAGTTAACAACAACTAAGTTGAAAAACCAACTCAACTTTGACCAATCAATCTCTTCACTTCTCTCTCGTATGTTCTAAATCTCCTGTCTTTTTTATTTTCGGGTGATTTTTGGGTTAATTTTCAGTGATTCTTGATTTTATTTTCCTATTTTTTTGGGGTGTGATTTGATTAGGTTGTGGAAAGATGAGTTCAGATCCCAAACTTCATGGATTTGAGGATGTCGCAAAGCATAACACTAAAGATGATTGCTGGTTGATTATTTCTGGCAAGGTCAATCTTTTTCTTTAATTTTTCTACCAGTTTCGATTTATATCTATGAATTTGAACTTTTGCTTTTGATTATTCGAATTTTTTTAATTGGGAATGAATTTAAATTTAAATATAGAGGTTGAAGATGGAAATTTTAATTGGGAATTGTGGTTTTATGATAGAATTTAATATTGCCCAAATTCTGTTGATGGCCTACATTTTTGAAATTTTGACTAAATAATTGGTCAGTTATTAGGCTAGATTTGTTGTTTAGTTTATTTTTTTTTTTTTTTAGATTTGTGGTTTAGTTGAATAAAATAGAATGTGAATTGCGAAGATTTGAGGCAGAGGTGTTTTATTAGGAGTATTAGAACAGATCTAAAGTGCTGGAAATGCTATGAAATACAGCACAAGTTAGCTGGGAATGTTTATACTTTTATTTGTTTCATTAACGCACCCTATAATTGGTTGGAGAATACCTAAATCTCGGCTGAAATTGGCCCTAACTTTGAAATTAAATGACCTTGTGGGTGGAATTGGCCTCCACTATGTTGGGTTAACCATCTGAGGGAACGAGATGAAAGATCTAAACATGTTCGCTTGTACGAAACGTTGTTAGATCAATGACTCATGCCGCTCTCACATACTCTTAATCAATGTAATGGATATTGGATACTAGATTCTTACATTTATCAGGTTACCAAGTAATTAGTTCTAGTCACAATTACACCATTTAAACATGCAAAAGCCGAAAGCTGACAATGCAGAACCGGCGGGTCTTACCTTCTTGGTTACTTGTGCATAATGCAGCAAACAACTCGTGTTAACATTTTGCAATATGTCATGTGATGTTGTATCTAGAATTACTATGATCCTTACTAGTTACTGTTATGAAACCTGAGCAATGCTGAACTTTTGTAGCTTAAATCTAAGCCAAATCTTTTGTGGAAAAATATTGTTCTGATCCATTATAAGCGAAACTGACCTTTGTATGTTAGACGAATGTTTTAAATTGAATTGGTTGAAATTGATGCGCATGGATTCACTTGGAAGCTGGTTTACTATTCAAATTGTTACAGGCTTGTAGAGTTTATGTTTTAGTGCACAACGCCAATAACTTTCAAGTCAATAGCTTAAGATATTATTTGAAATTAGACCCTGAAAATGACTAATTCTATGGCTATGATTGATTTAAGTATGATTATAGACGAGCTTATATCATAATAATCCAGTAGTTAACCGTGCAGACGTGCATGGCCACCTGTGTGCAGTTCTGATCTTGCTGGTAGACTTGCAGCAAGGGAGTATGGTTGCCTGTGCAAAGTTCTGATTTTTCCCATGAGCCTCATTCAAAACTCCAGTTCACCTTAATAAACCATCTCCAAAGCCATATAAAAATCTTGTAATTGCCCCAAAAGATTTGTCGAAATTGACTAGAACAAAGCTTACATTGTAGTAAAGGCGACAATCAACCAGGAAAAAGGCCATTCAAAATTTCATCTCCACCATGAGCATAGGTAACACTACATCATTTTGAGCCCAGAATTGTGAAAAATGCTCCGACATCTCTTTCTTGCGACTAACTTTATAACATTGTTGTGATTTGACAATGATAGATTGATAGTAATGCTTGCAAATCAAATTATGCTGTGTTCAAAACCATCTATTGACTTGAATGTCATCTCAAACAACTTATGCAGGCCTATGATGTTACTCCCTTCCTGGACGACCACCCTGGTGGTGATGATGTCTTGCTCACAGCGACTGGTAAGAGGTTTAGCTTTCTTTAGTTTTTGTGTGTGTGTTGTGGGGAGGGTGGTGGGGGGTTTGTGTTTTTATTAGCCAAGTTCAAGAATTCTAAGCTGATATCCTTTTAAATTGTGAGCATTATTTATACGATTATGGAATCATTATAGGGAAGGATGCAACAGAAGATTTTGAAGATATAGGCCACAGTGATAACGCAAGAGACATGTTGAAGAACTACTATGTTGGTGATGTTGATGTTTCTACCATCCCATCGAAACACAAGCCTACAAAGTCTCAACCTTCTCAGGAAACCACACAAACCAACCAATCTTCTGGATTCCTGATCAAGTTATTGCAGTTCCTGCTGCCGTTGGTCATACTAGGTTTAGCTTTTGGCCTGAAGAACTTCAAGAAAGAGTCGACCAGCTAGGTTATTAAACTCAAAGATGCAATTGGTGAACTTATATGTGATCGATTTTATAGGCTTCTTTGATTTGATTGTGATTTTATACTGTTGCATTTTAAGTTGCTTAACTTGTCCTAGATTAAATATTTAAGGGTCCATTCTATTCATGTAATGTACTTGAATCAGAAATGAGGAATGCTATCTGCATTCTGCAGCCTTGCTGATAGAGTGCAACTCTCTCATTTTATTTTATTTTCTATTTCTTTTTTAAATGATAGATAATACCTTGTTTAATGCGAGTACACCGTACTTCAGCATGCCTTATTTGAGTATCTTGCTATTCAGGACTCAACCATGTGGGATCGAATCTTTACATATCTCTCTACCCCTGCTTCACATATAATACGGAATATATACTCACTCAGTTGTTAGTAGTTAGTATTATCTTAATATTATACGAGTATCACACAAGTGAATAATCAAATTATTCAAATTATCTTAATATTATGTAATTTCAAAATGTGAATTAGGAGATCGAATTATAATCAATGTGTTTTTAGGAAATGATTTTTTTTCCAGAACATTAAAATTTACTTCTCAGTACTGTATTATGTGACTATTAATTCCGTATGGAGTTAATCATTACCCAACATTTCATCCAAAATTTAGCAGCTCATCAAAATAAAATTATGAATGAACTAAGCATAAATGCAATACACTCAAGTGGTTAGAGCTTCCCTCTCCATAGCAGGTAATCCTAGGATCGATTTTCATCAGTCACCCTTGTGACTCTCAAAATATATAAAGAAAAAAAAAAGTCAAAATGAAACAAAAAGAAGATTACACAACCCATACAGAGTACCTTTCATCCACGTTAAAAGATTCTAAAATCGTGTATGGGCTGATTCGTTCTGCAATTAATGGACCCTTGTATGCTTGTATAGTTTTGTGATATGTTAATGTGTTGGACCATATTACATGTACTCGTATATTGTTGGACTATATGATATATATGAATATCAGAATATATGATGCATGCATGCATAATTATAATAATGGACCATCATGTCTTCTACATAAATTTGATTTTTGCCTAAGCCCATCTTCTTCTTTTCTTGGTCTCAATTATAGTGTGGGATGTTAAAGATTCTATATGCTCACGGGTTTTTTAATGTTACAATGTTTTACTAGGAGATGTGCTGATTTGATCGACAAAGATTGAAAGTAAATGTATGTCGTATTCTTTTTTTTTTTTTTAATGCAAAAATATCATATCTACTTCAAAGCCTACTAGATTTAGATTAATTCGAATTCAAATCAGATCATGTCGTAATTGAGGTTTAACTCTCCCAATAAGCATTCTAAAGTCTTGAACCTATGATCATGACTTATTAGCTGATCCAAACACTTGTTGATTATCATTATCGTACATACTTACAATTAAGTTGAGAGCTTTAACTTTATTTTTAAAGTTGGAATACACCTATCTCACGGTTACAGAGATAGTGGATCATAAATTTTGAGACTAAAAGTTGGATCTTCCATTTACAAGATTTTTAAAGGACCTTTTGTCTTCCTATGCAATGTATCTTTAAGTAAAGCATTGATGTTATTGATAATATGTAATGTCGATCCTTTATATCTACTTTGCAGTGAACAAATTATGGATTTTTTTTTTTTATAAATCTTTTATTTCTTGCATCTTTTACCTTTATGAATTTTGTCCATGCATGGTACCACACTTTTGTAGCACACGTCCAGTTGAAAAAAAAAATTAAAAAAATTGTAGCACATGATCCGAGCAACATTTATGCAAATGTTGAGACTTGTTTATGAAACTTGGAAGCATTCTTCAAGATCTATGGATCTTTCATTCTCCCTCTTAAACCTAAGTAGTCCATGGTGATAAACATACAAGTCCAACAATGTTTCATCTTAAAAGTAATGGTAATGGCTAATTTAAAGACGTAAAGTATTCACCAATCTTATATATTGGTCATCCTCTTTTTATTTCTTCAATGTAGGATTATTTCTCATCTTAACTCACATATGATTTAATATCCTAATAGATTATAAGTCAAAACCGGCTCAAGTTTGAGTTTGTGATAGCTTTTACGTGTGTTAAAGTTATGATATCTTACATGATTTTCCATAGTAAGGATTGGTTCGTTATATTTCTTTGATCACTTTTCATCCCCTAATCACTCAATCCTTTCATGCTTTATGTGGGGCTCAAACACAAACACTGTATTATAAACTCTTGCAAACCAAACTAAGGACATAGTTAACATCATACCATGAAATCATAGACAAGACAGGCACCAAAGCTAATCAACAAATGCAAATATCCAATATATATAGTCCAAATCAATGTAAATTATTGGTTCTTGGAAAGAAGAAGGCCTTTCGATCAAATTAAAGTATCATTATGCATGCAACTTCTCCCTAAACACTAGGTAATTAAAAGCAGTTAAGGATACTTCAGGCCAAAGCTAGCAAAGGAGACAAAGTGGGTTCTGTATGTACATCTTTATTATTCTGATTTTCTTATTTTCTGGCATGTAGCAAAAAGCCCACTGAGAAAACTTACAATGAGGCTTAAAAAGGTGTAGCTACCGTAAAATTGTCCGACTCTAGATGTGTGGTACTTCTATTGTTTATAGGGAGTCGCAAAAATAATAAAGAGTAATATAGAAGAGATATGATTGTAAAATTTGGACACCATAATTTACCTCTAATGATATGAAACAAATTGATGTTGATAAAGTACATCCTCTTTTTGCAAATTAATAATAAATAATATTTTGTAAAGAGTAGTAATTATTTGGTTGGAGTGGTCTAATTAGTTTTTCTACTAAGCTTTGTCCTTTGATGATGACCGATTACAAAAAAAATCACTTGCTAACTTTATGTCTTTAACATAGAGTAGGGCAACTTAAACCACAAATCGACGGAGTTTATTAAAGACTTGCTTGCTGGAAAGCGGCCACTAAGTGCAATATCATCACTTTGGTCTCATCCATAATATGCATATGTTCATTTTTACTATCCAAATGGAGTGTTTTTGTGTAACTTATAGATCAATACATTAAATTTCTTTTTAATATTTGAAGTTCTTTTCTTATTGTTTAAGCTATTAATAATATCTGAAATATAGAAAGGTTTCTCATATCTACAATAACTTTTATGTAATCTGACCCTGAAAGACGATTGGTAGCACAATTAACTGAATTAAGATGTCAAGAATTGAAGGAGGATAATTGGAAAGAAATTTAGAGCACCTAATAGGTATATATAGAATCATCTTATGTATAGCGTAACAATTTTGTAACATAGTGAAAATTGAAAGTAATTCATTATGTAGTCCAATCTCAAAATGGCACTAATTGTTGATAATTTAGAGTGTCGGAGTGGAGCGCCCGCTCTACTGATTTATCGCGCTTGCGCTAGCTAGACGCGACCCGCGATGTAACCGCGCCAAAACCGCGTTTAGTTTCTGGAAATCTGACAAAACTTTGGAGGAGCGCCCGCTCCTCCTGGTAGCGCGCCCGCGCCACTATTAGGCGCGGCCCGCGTCTAAGTCGCGACAAAATCGCGCCAGGTTTCTGGAAAATCAGAAGTTTGGGAAGATCAGGGGTGGCGCGCCCGCGCCCCTTGGTGGAGCGCCCGCGCCAGAGGGTGGAGCGCCTGCGCTGCTGTGATGGCGCGCCCGCGCCTCCTCGCTCGCGCCCGCGGTTCTTTCCGTTTTAGCTGTTTTTGCATCGATTGAGTCTATGATTATAAGATCTGTTTTTTCGAACAGAAAATAGACAGAATATTATTCTCTCTAACTCACCCCAAGAATTCTCCATAATTTTTCTCAATTTTCTTGCTAACTATTGTGAGAAATACTCTTGATTTTAGCTTTCTTTGTGAATTATTCATCTTCATTTCGATTCTTTGTACTAAGATCGAAAGGGCTGTCAATTGTATCCCAAAGAGAATTTCCGGAATAACCCAAGCACCGTGTGGGGGAAATTAATCTCTTTAGGAAAGTATTCATACGCCTTTGACAGTGTATCAAGGATTGAGACTCAAGTGGTCACCGAAATTCTCATGTTCACGTTCTTGGTGTTGGCTTGGAGTTGAGGCAAGTATAGAACTTTCACATTAGTGTTTTTCTTTGTATTTTCTGTAATACATTGGTATTTTGGTGTTTGGTTGTAATACATTGGTTTGTATTTGGATTGTTGTATAATTTGATTTTAATTATACATTGTTTAGGTTTTGTACCCACAATTTTAAGTAATTCTCATTTTCTTGAATTGCGGTAAAACCTAACACTAATAACTTGTGTATTGGCACCGCAAATATATACAAGTGTTATAGTGTATCAAATATGATGCGATCTTTAACACATACTCTTCTCCTTCACTTTTACATCAATTAATAGACCGGTTCTTTCTCTATGCCTATCTCATCCTTTATTTCTCAACCACATGGCTACTTGTATCTTTAGCTTTTTACAATATAAGGGTGATTTTACTTCGGATTTAGTAGGCCTATAATAGCTATAAGCAATAAATATATAGCTTTTGAGATTTGTATACACAATCCCTTGGGCAAAATAGGCTATCCTAATTGACTAGAGAAGCCAAGTTTCTCGCACCAAAGCATGGGTAGAAGAGATCAATCCTAGTTATATACACAAAAACCGAATTAACTTAGATTTAGTTCCTCTCTTTTGATAAAAGAATTTATTAACTTTTAGGGGGTGTTTGGTATGACTATTAGAAATGGAGTGGAAAGGAAATAAATAAGTAGAAGGAAATGAATCATTTAACCGTTATCTTTTCATTTGTTTGGTTTAAACATGGAAAAAAATCACTTAAACCTTACTCTCTTTATTACCTTAGCTTTTAGAGAGGTAATAAATGGGTGTAATCATTAGGTAATGGTATAGGTAATTGTTACCCAAGCTTTCTAACCAAACACTTGGTAATGGTAAGCAATAAATATATCAAACATGCTCTAAAAGGATTTAAAAGTATTTAGTTTAGTGTATGTATGTACTTTTTTTTCTATCAATCAAAGTCAAATAAGACAATGATTGAATGATGTAGACTAAAATTTAATCTTAGAAGGACTATCTTCAATATATACGGACTTACGAAATACTCCCTCTGTTTTTAAATACTTGTTCCACAATCTATTTTCGGCCGCTTTTAAATACTTGCTTCATTTCCTTATTTAGAAAGCTTTTACAATATTTAATTCATTTCTCTCAACTAATGGACCCAATATAAATCATATTTTATTAATTTCATATTCTCTCTCCTCCATTCTCTCAATTACTTTTGCTTTTTATAATTTTTTATTCTTCCACCTATTTCACTACCTTCATATTTTATTACTTTTTCCAATTTCTCCTAAAACTCCACACATAAAGAAATGGAGCAAGTATTTAAAAACGGAGGGAGTACCAAGCAAATAACCTAACCCAATAACCCGGCCTCAAAATTAAACCAATTAAAGAAAAAGCAGCAGGTTTATGTCAGCATGGTTATGGAAGACACGAAGAAGCTACGAAGTACTTTTGTGTAACACGAGTCCGTACAACCCAACAACCTGAAGATTGCAAAGTGTTTGGGCTTTCTTAATTTTAATAGGCAATAGTTGCCGGCTATCATGTCAATTTTCTATTACGAGTAATTATTGACGTGATAACAAGCTTACAACAAAGTTTTCAGGGCCCCAATTTTTACTTTAAGTGGCACCTATGAACGTACCATCAGTGCTAACTTTCTAAGGGTGTGAATTCTGAATCTTATGGAGATGTATGTTAGCCACTTAACCTAGTAATTTAATAAAGCAATTACTTCCCATAATTTAACTTAACTTACTTCGAATAATCATGGTGGATTATTAGATGGTTGTGGTTAGAGAAGAAACATATCTAGTTCAGATTTAAATTGATCAAATTTCCTCATTTTATTTTGTGCTATTAGATATGAACTATATGTTGTCTTATGTATATAAAAGAATATAAAGTCGTGTTATATTTTGTGGTTCTGTAGTTATATGGATGCGTATTATTATTACAAAGAAAAAGATTGTGTAATCCATATTATTTCATTTGGGTGAAAAGTCATTTTTCAGTTTTTGTAAAAGGGAATTGTGAATTGTTCATTAAATGCAATACAAATTTGTCGAGTTGTCGGGTCTTCTTTGCTCACAATGTCCCTAATTTACATACACCAGAATTTTTAGGAATAGAAAAAGATTTCTTTCCTTGATGTTATAATGTTTTTTTTCCCCATTGATTTTATTTTGATGTAAACTTGTGCTAAATGCTATAGTATATTAACTCCTATTATTCAAGACTTGTTGTACCTTGTACGGATTTCATATAAATGTGAATTTTAGGTGAATATCAAGTGAAACTGAAATATATGTTCCAATAAAAATTTTAAATAATAGAGCTTTCCATTCGGTAATTCCCATTTACTTGTAGGATGAATATAACTTGATTGCAAAAATATAGAAACATTCTTAAATACTTGTATTTGTATATGTACCTTACACTCCATATTTGTAGTTTATGTACAAACACTCAACAGCATTAAAGGCGAAAGACGAATTTACATAGAGCTTTCTACCGTCATTTTGTAAAATCTTTCACCGCTTACTCACTCTAGATGGGAAGAAAGGGTAAAAGAGATAAAACATAAACAAAACTAAAATCAACCAAAAAAAAAAAAAACCAAAAAAAAGCAAGGCTTTATGATTGATCATCTAGTAATAAAGGGTCAAGATCAAGTTTTGGAATTCACTTCACATCACTTATGCCCTTCTAGGTCGCACCTCCACCGTAAGAGGTTGAGCCATCTCACATGAGAGATTTAACACTTCTGACAAGTCCACCGTGGCATCCACCGCGGATGACACCCACTCATACTCGTGTAGCAGCGATGCAACCCAAAAGGTCACGGTGGCAAGCCCGAGCGCCTTCCCGGGGCAGGCCCGTCGGCCCGACCCAAACGGGGCGAGCCTCAAATCAGACCCGAGCACCAAGATTTCACTCTCGGGGGTCGAACCCAAGAACCGGTCCGGGTTAAACCTCTCGGGCTCAGGCCACACCCCCGGGTCCCGTGTAATGGCCCACATATCCACCATGGCAGTGGTCCCGGCAGGCACGTGATGTCCATCAACTGTAGTGTCTTCAATAGCCAAGCGGGCCCACGAGAGTAGTGGGCCCGGAGGATGGACACGGAGAACTTCTTTGATCACAGCCGTCAAATAAACCAATGATGTAATATCAGACTCAGAAACCGCACGTGACCTTCCGACGATATTGTCCAGCTCATCATGAATCCTTGATTGAACATCAGGATGAAGGACTACTCTAGCTAAAATCCACTCGATTAAAACCGCAACAGTATCGGTGCCTCTAAATATCATTTCCTGAAAAATAAATTAAACATAATTAATTAGATGTTATTAATATAATAATTAAGATATTAATGGATGAAATATTTATTATGCAAAGGTAGAAAACATCAAAGATCTTAGAGAATCTGGAAATGATTTGATACGACATTGTCAATCAAAATAAATTTACTATTTGGAAGTACCTATCTGGCCCTCTTGAAAGTGATACCATTTTTAGCTTTAGTCTCTTTTTTTGAACATGTGGAAGTGGAACCTAGAAATTTGCTTTGTATAAAATGCTAATCCTTTTCCTAACTTTTTATTTTTATTTTTAGCTTATGCTTTTATTTTGCTAAAATTTCACCACCATAACATTTCTTAAAGATCAATCATCATTAATCAAATTTCTTAACTATAACAAAAACCCCGTATTCTACTAGTATAAACTTTTAGCTAATACGAAGTATTATGTTGATGCACATAGTTAAACTAGCTAATTTGTCAATTGTCATGTACATACCTTGCACTTTCATTAACCAAAAAGAATATTAACGTCATTTTTGTTTTGTACGAGGTATAATTAAAAATTCTACAGATAAAAAACAGTACAGTCGATGCATATTACGAGAAAAAGAAACTCGAAAACCAACCAAATATCTTCACTTTTTCAAGTCTTAAACTATAATTAAATATTATTTAGACCATTACGTCATTTCAATTAAGGATATCAGCCATAGTCACTTCACCAACACTAGATCTACTTAACCAACAATCCTTATATATTAGGACTTATCGATTATGGGTTTAAATTTGTCCTTGGTACTCTTTACCACCAAAAGATTAGTCACAATCCTAAAAATGTTGGTGTGGCATTTTTGTCCCGACCTTTAAAAATTGGATAACATCCTCAAACTTTAGTACGTAATTGACGTAATATATAATCATGCATGCAGTTCTAAAACTAATAGTAGAAATAAGTTGGTTATACTATATTTCTAAAACAAAAACTTACCCAAAGCACAGCGATCATGTCCGAATCGGAAAGTTTATCCGAGCTCGGTAAGGATAACAAAACATCGACAAAATCCCGGTTGTTTGGAACCGGGTTAGCTCGATGTTCAGCAATAATACGACCAACGAACCGGTTCACTTTAGGGACAAGTCGGGAGCATCTAAACCGGATTTTTTGAAAGTCAAAATCAGCTAACCAAGATAAATGGTCGCCCCAATTTAAAACTCCTAGTAAATCATACCCTTCTCCCACCATCTCCTTCAACTCCTCACTCTCTTTGTTTAATGGGCCTTCAATTATACTACACTTCCACCCAAACACTGAGCCCATCATGTTACTCAACGAGGCCCGTCTAAACACATCACGTGGTTGGAACGGGCCACTTTGAGTCCCAAAATACGATGTCATCGCTTCTGCAATGGCATTTCTTTGGGACTCAGAGGCCTTAATTTGTTTAGGACTAAACATATGGGTTGATGCAACCCTACGTAAGGTCCGCCAGTACACACCATACGGGGCGAACCCGATGGCTCGGTTAAACATTAAACTATAGGCAGACTCTTTAATAGGTCGGTCAGCAAAGTTGGATGAATGAAGTATATCCTTAGCCACCTCATGGTGGCACGTAACGATCACACGCGTTTCACCGAGGCTAAAAGCCATAAGGCGTTTCGCGTTACAAGTTTGAGCTATGGCGGATATCTTACGGTGAGCTAAACCCGTCATGAGGCCCATACTGCCTAGAATGGGCCAGCCTCTTGGGCCAGGGATTGGGTTTTTGGCCCAATGAAACAAACGGGCTAGCCTGTATTTTCCCCAAGCTGGGCCTCCTGGGTAAGACCAGTGGATTAAGGCCATAGTTAGCCAAACTATGGCAATGACAAACAAGGAGAAAACAACATAAAAGGTTGAAAAATGGTTGCATTTAGAAAAAAGGGCAAATACCCAAATTGAGTCAATATTAATATTTGTGCTCATTTTTCCTTTGATTTTGGAGAGAAAAAAAGAGAAGTTTTGAAGATGATTATTTTGAGCTAAAGAGGTTTGAGTTATGTTTTTGGTGCTAAAGAATGAGATGTTGGGGTCCTTTATATAGGGTAGCAATAGGACAAAAGAACCCTCGCAATTAATTAATAAACTATTAAAGGGAATCAGAAGAGAATGTAATTTTAATAATTTTTATGGGATGCTAATTGGGTAGACCGTTATGTATTGTACTTATATAGTTATATTTACATGTATTAATTTTATATAATCAATTATAGTACTCTACTTGTAACGTAAGTAATACTTAATTATCGTTAATTACTATTACTAATTAATTTCTTGATTCTTTCATCAATGAAACGTAACTTCTGTTAACACAATTACACAAACCACCTTTTAAAAAGTATTGAATAAAACGGGGTAAACTTACAAGAACTGTTTGTGATATTTTCATGAAATTTCCCTTACTTGTATTGCTCGTAATATATATATTTTTTTTATTAATTTTTTACTAATTAAAGATATATAAAGGACTTTAGTATAAGCTTTTCTAAGCCTATTAGTAGCCAATGAGTAAAAAGTGATTGCATCCATGTATATATTATAGTATATCTAATTGTCTAACCAGCTTTCCATCTAACACCTCATGTCCTCATGTAATGGTATAAACTAATAGTCCCCTTACTAAATCTAAGTTGGGTTGGATATGGTGGGGTATTAATGTATAATTACTTGTAATTATAATTAAAGTAATAATCGCTGACATCATCTATTTATTTTTCTTCAAGTAAAAGACTTAAAAAGGGTAGAGTGGTAGACTAATTGTACATTTTCTAAAAGCTTTTACGGCTAACTGGACTAGCTACACAATTTCGATGGCCGGAGTTAAAATAAATATAACTTATTACGATCGAAGAAGCAAAAATGTTACAAAATACTGTTAAAATTGTGCATCGCACGAAACTAAATTAGAATACGTATGTATTCATCCCCAATTTACTCCATTTCAAGGAATTTATGTTTTTTATCAAGGATTTTTTACTCTATCTACGTAAGAATAAAAAAGTATCGAAATAAGTTTGACTTTACTTTAGAATATAATAGTTCTCCCTCCTCAATCCTCGTAGATTCTAGCCACCTATGCACTTTTATTTATTTTGTTTATTTTTGACATAACTAAATTTAATTTGAACGAAATATAATACATCACCTATACAATATTTGAGATATTTTATTGAGGATTTATTATTAAAGATTACGTATAGCACAATACATTATTTCGTAAGTCCAATAAAAGATAACAAGTCTATTCCAACTAAAACACAGTACATGATTTTATGGATGTATAATGTTATGTGCTCCCTCTTTTTCATAATGACAAGATTATTACCATCTTAATCACATATTGTGTAATAAAACGTAATGAATTAATTGAATGGTTTATTATATATACCCATCTAAAATCGTTGTTTCTTTTTTATAACCTAGCTAGACTAGATAACGAGATAGGATTCAATTCAAATTACTCTATGCTCAATAACTCCAGTTAATCCAAGCACGTACTTTAAGAGTGGGGAAGAGTAGAAGCACCGTCCCTAACTTTAGTTCTTTGATCTGATGGTAACATGAAAAACTTTATAAATACTCCGCAGTAAATCACCAATCCTTCAAAAAAGAGAAACTCCGTAGTGATAGAGTATATAAATCGATCATGGATTTCAACCATTAATTTAAGCTTTTAGTTTAAATGATTTTTAATATGATATCAAGAGTCAACTTGACACAACGATCAAAGGTCACGAGCTTAATTCTCATTCACACTCTACTTTCAAGTGGAATATTTCGCCTTGGGTACGTATAAGGGGGTAAAAGGCTGGCTCTTTTTGCATCCACACTTCAAGTCTGAAGGACTTTCATGTGAAGGGACATGATAGAGTATATAAATTGATCGTGGGTTATAACCATCAGTTTAACCTTTTGGTTGAACAATCATTTAACAGTAGATTATCATAATTAATTCATTTTTTTGACTCCATCTTTTCTATACGCTACTATTTCCCACTGATTTCCTCATCACCATAACACTCCCCTCTCCCTCCCCCCCATCCCAATTATCCCGCCAACTCCTTGGTGCAATATACTTCCTTCGTTCTATAATATTGTAATAATGGGACTTTTGCACTATTCATCACTCTTGTTTGACCATATAATATGATTTATACTTTAAGTAAAATATAGTCATGTGGGATCTTGTTAGATTTATCTCAAAAAATACTTCACAATATTAACTTTTTATAATTTGTACTCTTATACAATTATAGATATTTAACATATAAAATATGTTTTAAAATGCGTAATTTCATTCTTGTTACAATATTATTGGAACGGAGGAAATAATAAATTAATAGAACGTTAGATTGATAATCTGTTAGGTTTTTGGATATATCATACGAAGTGTAACAAGCTAAGAGACACAATAATTAGTTTGATGAGGTTTTCGATGGTGTCACAATATTAACTGAGTGTATCACGCATCACACATAGTGACATAACAATACTTAATTATGTAAATATATTGTCTTGTTGAATACTTATAATATTTCCAATATTTTGTTTTCAAAGTCGTTGCTCAAACTTCTTTTAATAGATGTTGAAGGAGTTAATATTAGATTTATGTACTTTTAAAAATTATAAGAAAGAACTAATCAGGGATCACATCCTAAAAGTGACCTAAACTAATACATGATCCTACTTCTTGGTCAACAACTTACAAGTAAGGGTCCTAGAAATTCTCCTCATTGAGTACCTTAGTAAAAGGTAGAGTCTTTCATCGGAATGGACTAATTTTGAATTATTTTGCTTCCAATTTGGTTTAATTAAGATGTTTCGAGATTTTATATTATATAATAGACAAAAATCCAAAGATCGATCTATATATAGGAAAATTAAAACATTTTTTTTAATATATAGAAATTTCAATAATATTTTGAGATAAGGTGGAAAATTTACGTTCAATAAGAAATATGGGGGAAAATATAGAAAATGTTATTTTTCAACAATAGTTGTTGCTCTATGGTTTTTACATTTATTGTCTTCCTCAATTTTTTAAATAGAAATCACACTCCCCAACACTTATTTACTTGTTTTATCACTACATCATTGGATAATATAATAGACGGTTAACACACTCAAAAACCTAATCAAAATACTTCAATTCATATCTATATTTTTGTCTTTTGTGATATTCATTACGAATAATCATTGCATACTACATAGTTTACCATAGGTGGAAACATTGCTACATAATCAGCCTATATTGCTATACGACTATACGAGTATTATTTTCCAATTCAAGCCAGCAAAATAAGAGTAAGAAAATGGATGGAAAATGTAAGGTAATGCTGTAAAAAACAATTGCAAAAAATAGTATACTAATGACTAATCTACAAAATCTAGAGGAAATCTTGAAGGCCTGCATGACAACCTACAAGTATCATACGGAATATTGTTTGCATAATTTGCGTTAAAATGTTGGCAACTAAACTAATTTGCGTTTACTAATTGTGGTGTTTACCACCTCTAATTAACTACGATCAGCATGATGAAACGTTTCCAATATAATTTGTTGACAAAAGTTTAATTATATATATTTGAAATAATAAGTGAGTAATTAAATATTTAATCCTTTACCTCCCTCTAATTGTGAGGAGCCATGTCCCTAGTTTGTGGCAACTCGTATTTATTGTTAACATCATCAATTTGCTTTTTTAAGCTTTTCCAAATATATAGATTCATGACGGGCTTTCTAATATTAGTATGGTGATAATTGGAAAGTATTTTCTTTGATATCCATGAATCTATATCATTATTAATATAATTAGATGTTTTAAAATTTATATATTAATCATTTTCAACAGTACGAGTGTATATTGATTATACGGTTGATAATAAGATTCCTCCTTGATTTTCTAATTGTTTATTGTATCTCAAATACTTCTAAATCTTTAGTGCAAAATTTTTTAAACTAAAATAATCAGCTTGAAGAGTAATTTAAGAAAACTCATGGCGTTGTATGTGCCTCAAAGATTCCTACATGGATTGATAAGACTATTTACGAATATCATGGACAAATTTGTAAAATACTCCGTGACATGCGTATACAAGTGCAAACTAATATAATTACAATATTCTTACAAGTTTTTTTATTTAAGCAAAACGAGAGAAATATGGAGTGCAGTAGAAATGTTGCGTTCAGTAAAAACAAGTTCATTTCAATAAAAATTAATAATTTCAAAGAAGAAATATAATAGATAATCAGTAAAAATAGTTTCAGTTCAGTAAAATAAATTTTATTTCGGTAAATTAATTTAAATTCAGCAAAAATAATTTGAGTTCAGCAAAAATAAGGTGAAGTGAACAAGACCTAATTAATTAATCTACAAACCCTATTGTTGTCATACAAGCATGCGGCCCACATCCTTAAAATATTTTATGAGTACTTCCTATCATGAAATTAATTGCTCTATTTAACTTTTTAAGCTTTTTAATCAATTTTGACCATTTTTTTCAGACGGAGTAGTATATTTATTGTATATGAAAAAAACAATGGTTAAATATCATTTGATCTATGGAGTACAATTCATCAATTAGTGTGTCTTCCGAACAATATCTCAAGTTTTTCTCCATTATTTTTTGTATTCGAGAAAATTTTGAACTTATGATGTGATAAGTAATTGCATGATGTTTAGAAATCTTTTAAACTAAAGAATATCATCATTATCGTAAAGAGTACGGCAAAAAAAGGTATAAATATGTTTAATCTACATTTCGTTATAATTTTCCCTTTTTATTTACTTGTAACCTTTTAATTTTTACACTATGCACATATTTCACTTTGATTACTTTTGGTGACTTATAGGTAAAATATATTCATGTAACATCTTGTTAGACTCGTGTTGATTTATATTTTTATAATATCAAATTTTTTATATTTTTTGACGTATTGATAATTAAAAATATTAACGATTGAATTAATGCGTTGATAATCGTCAAAAGAAAAGTGTTGTAAATAT